ATAATAATAATAATAATAATAATAATAATAACTTAATTATTATTATGTATGTTATTATAATGTTATTATAATGTTAAAATATAATAAAAAAAAAATCACGGACATTTTAGTAGAAAGTGATTTTTGGCCCACCCTGTATAATAATAATATTGAAATAATAACGATAATATAATAATTATTATATAACGTTAAAACATATAATAAAAAAATTACATTTTAGTAGAAAGTGATTATTGGCCCACCCTGTATAATGATAATATAATAAATATTTGCTCAGGTCCTGCCCAAGTCGAGGCATGTTAACAATACACGAAAAAGAGTGTAGAGGGGGGAGGGGAGAAAGATGAAGCACCGTTCCTCTTGCCGCAATGGGAGAATTCGTCCGATTGCCAACCGCTGGGGAGAAATGGCACTGTACAACGCGTTTACCCCGTACGGCGTACGTACGTACCATAATTCAAAGCTACCGTGTGAACTCGCGTTTTGTCCTTGCCAGGCTCCCTGTTTCTCGAAAACCGACGATGTTATCTTAACGCGGATAACGTAAGCGCGAACGTACACGTTCGAGTTAAGTCGTACTACCAACAACAGCAGGAATATTACAGTTTGATATTTTACGAAGGCATTTCGAATTTCATTGCGTAAATTATTCGGTGACGGGGGCTCGTTCGTCACGAGGCATCGATGTATTGTGTACACCGCCGTTCAAAAGTCGCAGGACGAACACTATGTTCGTGTTAAAAGCGGAGAAAATTAACGTAATGTAAAATACAGTTAATGCGATAAGAATTAATATGACACGATGTAACGTAGAGATGGGAAAAATTGCACCGCTTTTGAAACAATTTATTACATATTAATATAATATAATTTATTATATGTATTTATTTATTTGGATAGCGAACAAAGAGTTAAATACGCAGAAAGTATTCGTGCATTTGATGAAAAATTCTATTACAGCTGTTGCAACCTCGCGAGAAAATATCGTACGATAAATTTCATCCCTTCGAGTTTAAATTTTATAAGAAATTTTAAAAAATGATATACTATTTTATCAATTT